TGTTGATATCGTTAGAGGACTTCAAGAGTGGTCAAGTTCATGTTTTGTTGATATCGTTAGAGGACTTCAAGAGTGGTCAAGTTCATGTTTTGTTAATGTTGTTCAAAGACTTGAAAGTCTATTACAGATCTTTTAAACTGAGATTTTATACTTTACTAATTTAGTTAATTTTTATGAAACATAAAAAGGCTCGCACTAAACATTTGATGGAATAGTATTTCTGTGAATTTGGGTAGTTTGTGTTTGAGAATATATATATATCAGTTGCATTTCACTGGGAACGCTTATTTATATTGTATAAGATGTAAGAAAAAATTCAGATTCTAACAATAAAGAAAAACTACATATGTTTCCAAATTGTTCAAGTAAGACCAATGTCTTAAATAAAAAAATTAAATTAAATATTGAAATGAAAGTTGGATATTCAGTTAGATACCAATATTTTTACATGTAACCTTGCAAGTTTATGAGAAAGATGAATTTTTCTTAATGCAGATAAAAATAGTTGGTTAAAATTTGGTTCAAAGCAGTATTTCTCTAAAATAACTGATATTGTGTTTCATGGTTTTGGTTTTTTTTATTTAAAATATTTTACATTTTGAACCTCAGTATTGTTTGTAAGTGCAGTATGCATACTGTTTGTTCAAATTAACCCATTAACTGCGGCAGGAGCAGCTCAGTTGCCTTTTTCTGACTCACAGATAAAACTGAGTTGCCATCAATCACAATAAAACGGTCATTATCGTCATTTGCGTTGAGTTATAGTTATATATGTGCAACTGACAGATATTTCCATCATTCGCAGCTGAGCCATAGAACTCCAGTGACGGAAATATTCGTCATCCGCAGTTAATGGGTTAAGTAGGTTCAGTTATCTACTTTGTCAGTTTCTTTAGTGTATGTCAAATTTGATCTTTAGTTAGTTTTTATGCTGGATTTTTTTTACAATGAAAAAATCATAAAAAGGATTTTAAAAAACATGTTACAATAAAATTTTCAGAGACTACTGAATACTTTAGGCTGACTAATACCAAAACCTTTAATAAAGTGAAGTTAAATTTTTTTCTTACTTCAGTGTGCTGTCTTTTAAGCCAATAGGAACAACATCATACGAAACAAACAAACAAAGTTTTCCACAATAAAATTCCCTAAATGTTTTACATATTTCTCTCACAATATTTTAATACAGTTTGCTAACTTCACAAAATTGGAATTCGCCCATTCCAGACAATACCACTCTCTCTTGTATTGAACAACTTGGATTCACTAACATCTTTATTTAAGAGACAACTTTAAGAAAAAAACTTCAGTAAAAATCATTTATTTGTTTTCAATGAAACTCTTATTAATTATATAGAGTTAAGAACTTGAACTATGTCGATTCTACATTAACTAGTTTGTTAAAATATAAAAGAGTTTGAAC